GGGGCTGTGCCTGCCTGACCCCAGAAGAAAGCTGGTGGCTTATCTTCTGGAAGAGGCATCATGGCAGGTCCCTAGACTGGGGCCATCAGCAGAGTGGATAGCAGGACTGAACTAAAAGAGAGAATGAGTGACAGTTTGCATCCTGAATGTTGTCGCCCTTGGTGTCCTTCCCTTGCTTGCCTACCACACTGGCTGCCAGGGTTACTCACTGCAATTGGAGGAGCTTTCTCTGGACAGTCTGGCGAGCCCTGAGGAATGTCCCAGACAGCTCACCCCAGTGTGGAGACTGCAGTCAGAAAGTTTCTACTTTTTCTAAAGAGTTCTGAAAAGAGATTAGAGAATCCAAAGGGTCAGGAACCATCAGAGAAATAATTTCCCCAAATGGAAGGGCATGAGTTTGCAGCCAAGAGGACCCCCTGAGCATCCAGCACCATGAATGAAAATAGCCCCCTATCAAGGCAAAGATCCTAAAGCTTCCAGAAGGAGGAAAGAGGTTATGCCACAGATTAAGAATGGCATCATCTTAGCGCAAGACACAGGAAGCTAGGAGATGATGGAGCAGCGTCTCTAAAATTCTGAGAGGAAACTTTCACAAAAAATTTTGTACCCAACTCTAATGGGCTGAATTATGTTCCCCCAAATCCTTTGTTGAAGCTTTAACCCCCAGCACCTCAGATGTGACTGTATTTGGAGGTAAGGCCTTTACAGAGGTGATTAAGTTAAAATGAGGCCAGTAGGGTGGCCCCTAATCCAGTCTGACTCTTCCTATAAGAAGAGGAAAGTTGGATGTACAGAGGAAAGACCATGCAAGCACATCACAAGAAGGCAGCCATCTGCAAGCCAAGGAGCGAGGCCTCAAAAGAAACCAACCCTGTCAGCACCCTGATCTTGGGCTTCCATTCTCCACAACTATGAGAAACTAAATGTCTGTAGTTTAAGCCGCCCAGTCTGTGGTATTTTGTTATGGCAGCCCTAGCATGCTAACAATAGTCAACGTATCAGGGAAATGTGAGAGTAGAAAAAGCGATTTTCAGACATGTAGGATCTCACAAAAGGATATTTCTCAAGCACCCTTTCTCAGGAAGCGTTTGGAGGATGTACCCTACTAAAATGAAGGCATAAAGTAGAAATAAGAAAGCCCTCAATCCAGGAAACAGGGAGCCCTGAAACTATTCGCAGCACCAAGAGGATGGCCAGTCTAAGCAGGGCAGCCTAAAGGCCCTAAGAGATACACCTTCAAGCAGACAAAACCAGCAGGATGCCTGCTGTGATTGAATGTGTGCAGAAGAGAGAAGCCAGACACAGGGACAGCAGGACAAAGCGAAGGCTCTGCAGGAAAGGAAGACTGAATGGCTCAGCTATGACTCAAATGTACATGGTCACCTGGTACCACATAAGCCCTGTACAGGCCCCCGCCAGCAATACACTCCTGCATGGGGTGGGGAGGGGCAGGTGCAGGTGCAGGGCTATGTATCAGGGAGTGTGAAATCCTCTTCTTCCATAGAGAATGCCTCCAACTGACTAGCAATACAAGCTCGTTAAAGATACCTGCTGTTTTCAGTTGAGAAAAAACAGGCCCTCTTTCTGTTGGTGGGAAAATAGCTTGATAGAATGTTTCTGAGGGCTGGTTAGTGACCATAACATTAAAAGCCTTAAAAATATGTGCAATCCTAAAAAAAAAAAAAAACAAAAATAAAAACAACTGTGCAGTCCTTTTATGGTAGAATAACACTTCTAAGAAAAAAATCAGAGTTGTGTGCAAACACATTAAGCTGCTCACCACAGCAGCTTAAAATATCACAAACCTGGAAGTAACATCCAATGGTGGAAGACTGCCTCTCGCAATGATGGAATTCTCTGTAGCCTTTAGAGTGTACTGGAAAAGAAATTCATCGACTTGAGACTCGGGAAGTATTAGAAAAATGTACATAAACATGTATAGTAAAGTGGCTGGAAATATTTTTGGATGGTGGAGTTACAGATGATTTTTCTTTTGGAGGTGTATTTTATATTTTTTACATTTTGAAAACGTGATACTTCTGCAAAAGGATGTACATTCAATCTGAGAATAAAGGCTGTGGTAGAGGCATAGTTGTGATTCTCTGGTTTCGTTTCTCAATTCAATAGATTATGATTTCTATTTCAAAGCCATTTCTTATTATGAATAATGGGGAAGTAAGGTAAATGGGTGGCTGGCACATGAGTCAACAGAATCAAGCATTTATTCTAAGCCTCCAAGGAGTTTCTGAAAATAGTATTTTATCTTCACACTCAGGATGAAGCTGGAGGCAGATTCGTCGCTTTCTCTGGAGAAGGACAGTCGTTGCGTAAAAAGGGAAGAAAGCCATAAGTTGGGACTGTTGGCTGATTGGAAAATAAAATAATCAATTGCAACATAATGGCTTTTAGTTACTGGCTCTGATGGGGATGAGACTGTTGCAGACGATGCTCTGTCACTTTAGGTTTTGTTTTAGAGTTACCTAAGAATTACCGTGTGTGACCTGTAAGTGGAACATTCCGACTTGGTGGATGATTTTGGGAAGGAGAAACCTCACTCTGAGGTCCTGCAGGCAGCCTCCTCCTCGCCCCTTCTTGCTTTCAGCCCTTGAGGGGTGCTCCCACTGCCTTAGCCAAAGCAGAGTTCCCTAATTCCTGATAAAAATCAATGGAGGGGATTGAATTGCTCTAACTTTAGGTGTTGTTTCTCTTTTTTTCACTTACCGTTTGTTTTTCCACGTCGATAGCTTAGAGCATTACCTTTGGCCTAGAAAAAAGTGGCTTAAATAGAGACATGCTCTATAAATAGTGGTTATCCCATTACTCTGGCTGCAATTTAAGTGTATGAGGAAGGGTGTTTTTATTTTACATATTGATATTTTTTTTTCCAAAAGAACCATTCTTCAGAAGGTGGATTCCTGATAATACATTTCATCTTGTAATTTGATTTCATATGGAAATAACTTGCTCCTTAATGAATCGGTTCTACAGTGAAATAACTTCATGATGAAGCACAAATATGAATATTAGAATAAATAAGTGCTAAAGATATATTTCTCCTTCCCTACCCCCCACTCCCAGTTAATGTATTAAATTATCCAAGGTTCTGCTGGCCTACTTTTTTTATTAGCATTAATTTGGTCTCAGATCACTTTCTATAATGTGAAAGCTTTTGACATGTTAATCTAATTTAATCTCTTGTTCCTTGAAAAGAATTTTACATCAAGAATTTCAAATAAAAACAGGCAATGATTAAACCTGGATTGCCTCTAAATGCTTGATTAGTTATCAACATGGGTTGATGGTTGGGCCACCAGCCAGGAGTTGGAGGAAGACTTGCTTGCAGGTGTCCCTTGTTCCATCGTGCCATTAGAAAAGAGCTCCTGTGGGGGGCTTCTGGAGAATGTATGGAGAAATGAGGCTCTCTGACCCCTGCATTGGGGATGGTCAGCCTGAGCAGGGTCTCCTCTTGTAGGAGGACTCCTGCTTGAAGATAGAGGGGTCCATCTCTGGACAGAGTTCCTTCAACACTCGAGAGGATGTTCCCTTCAGGATGGTGGCCCAGGGTCCACCCACATGTCATCAGATCAAGAGCATAGGTGATTGTCATGAAGATGAGGGCTGGGCTATGGCCCAAACAGTGACCACTGATGATGGACAAGGTTTCAAGAGGCATGAAGCACTGCTGTGACTTCCGTGATCCTCCACTTAAGGCGTGTCTGTTTCACTAGCCGAGGCAGAAGCCCTCCTTGGTGGGTAGGCAGCCTCCATTTGCTGGATCACATTGGCTAATGTGTCATTTGATGCATAATGAATTTTACAGTAAGGCACTGACTGACCTTGGGTTTTTGTCTTCCCTAAGCAACACCTACTGTGTAAGCAATGAAATCACTCATGGTCCTTTGCTTGAGCCATACTTCCCTGCTGGGCCAGCTTCTGGTAACACAGAGGGGAGGGGTCACCCAGAGCAAAAATCCTGGTCATTACTGCTGCACCCTGGCCTGCAGCCTTCTCTGTCTTCAAGCTTGGTCTGTGAGCCAGCTTAGCAGGAGCCCTGGTAAAATTGCATCTTTCTGGCCCACCTTCAGGGAGTCTGATCCAGTCTCGTTACTGGGGTGGGCCCAGCAACCGCGTTGTAAGGGACTCCCCCGTGGAGGATTAAGTTTGTGGAAATTGGAGAACCTCTGCATAGGTATTGCAGGGCTACTCTGCAGATTACCAGCCACTTTTATTGCCTCTTGTGCACCTCTCCTGTTTATAAACGTTCCATGTCTTCCCACGCCTCAGAGTAAAGCCTTCACTCCTAATCAGACATGCAAGGCGCCCCACACTTGTAAGGTTCTCTCCTCTACCCCGTGTCACACACAGCCTCCACGCCTTTGACCAGCCCACCGTTGTGCTCAGAACACCCTTCGCTCACCTCCACTACTAGCCTGCGTTCCCTCGAGAAATCATCCGGCGCCCTAGACCCCCAGCTCCCGGCTGGTCACGCCCAGCCACCCTCACCGAATCCTCCGCAGCCGCAGACTTGGCAGCTTTGCCACAGGGCGTTGATGCTCAGTATGTGCTTATGAAAGCGAATCCTATCTTTTGAGATTTCATAAAACTGCTGAAAACCGGCCTGGATCCCGTGGTTTCAGAAATAACTAACTTCAGGTGGCTGTGCAGCCCCGGACGCCCGCTGGGCACCAGGCGAAGGGCCGCTGTCATCCATTTGGCCTCGCAGGCTGCACGCCGGGCTTTCTACCTCCGGACACGCCCCCGCCCACATGGTCTCTTGGCCCTTGTGGGCACCGCCTCCGCTTGTCACCGCCCCGCCCGGCTGTTATTGGCGGCTCAGCCCGGATGTCTTGTTTATTGGCGCGTGTCAAGGGGGTGGGTTGCGGAATCAAGCGTCACATCTCGGAGTTCATTGGTTCCTATCCGTCAATCACGCGGTGCGGCTTGTCTTCAATCTTCATTGGCTAGCGAACTCAGAGGGGGGGTTCGGCAGTCGCCCGGGCATGGCGGACAGCGGCGTCTGGCGGGTAAGCGCGGGGGGCGCCCGGGACGTGCAGGGACCTCCTTGGGCCGGACGGCCGGATTACCTGAGCCTTCTCCCAAGGAGGGGACGGGATGGGGGTCCCTAGGCGGGCAGTGCAGCGGCCTCTGGCTCAGGCGTGCTTCTCGCTGCAGCCGCCGCGCCCCTGCGAGGCCTACCGAGCCGAGTGGAAGCTCTGCCGCAGCGCCAGACACTTCCTGTACCACTACTACGTCCACGGTGAACGGCCGGCCTGCGAGCAGTGGCGGCGCGACCTGGCCAGCTGCCGGGAGTGGGAGGAGCGCCGAAGCGCGGAGGCCCAGGTGCACTGGGGAGCCGAGGGTGGCGCTTGGGCCGCGGGGGTGCATTGCCCAGGCGTCCGAGTGCGCGGACCACACCCTCCACCACGTTCCAGGCCCCGGGACACTGGGAGAGGAGTACTGCGTGGGTCCCTCCTTTTGTTGTGCTTCCTTTTTCTTGAGAAATATCAAAAATTAGTATATCAACGGGGCTTTCAGACATTGAAGGACAAAGAAAGGAGAATGTAGAGTGGTTTGGAGAGAAAGGAGAGATCCCCTAACAGTGATAGTGTTCTCAGCAGGCCTGCGGAGGGGGTGATATTGCTGAGGCCTGAAAGACCAGGAACCAGCCTTAACAGCCTTCACCCGGCCCGAGGCGGGGCGCATCTGAGGAACACAAAAAAGGGTCAGGTGCTTGGAGCAGAAGGAGGGTGGGCTGTAGAGGGGTATAGGATGAGGCTGGAGAGGTACCAGGGACCTGGTGCGCCTTAAAGAAGGGTTTAGATTCAGCCTAAACGTGTGCTGGGAAGCATGACTTGATTTATATCTTTAAAAGATCAGTCTGGGGGTCCTGGGTAGCTCAGTTGGCTAAGCGTCTGACTCTTTGATACCAGCTCAGGGTCATGAGTTCAAGCCCGGCATTGGGCGCCAGGCTGGGCATGGAGCCTACTTAAAAGGGGCCGGGGGGGGGGGAATGCCGGGAGTGCATGGGTGGCTCAGTTGGTTGGGCAATTGACTCGATTTAGGCTCAGGTCGTGATTTCTGGATTGTGGGATCAGGCTCCACGCTGGTGAGGGAGCCTGCTTGGGATTCATTTTTTTTCTCTCTCTCTCTTTCTCCCTCTCCCCCCACTCCACTCCTCCCCACCTCTCTTAAAAAAAGAGAGATATTGGTCTGACTGCCAGGGTGGGAGAGTGTATTACGGAGGACCAAAGAGACCAGTGAGGAGGTGGTTCTGGTTTTCCATTCATTCAGCAAATATTTATCATGTTGGGAGCTCTTTAAGAGCTCAGTCAGGAGTGATGAGAACAGAGCCCCTGCCCTTCTGGCACCTTCGTTCTAGTCTAGAATAGGCAGTGGTGCCTTGGAACTATTGTGGATGGGGACATGAAGAGAAGCTTGAGGGTGCAGTGCTCATGGGGAAGGGGGAAGGGGACCCAGCAGGACTGGCAACTGCTTCAGCATGGTTAAATGTATGTGATTATCGAAACAGACAAACGGATGTGGAAAGCAAGCTGCTGTATAAAAGAATATGATGACAGGTCCATTATAAGTGGAAATCAAAAAATTGGGAAAGATAGCTGGTAGCCTATATAGCAAGAGATTAATAACGTTTTTTTAGAGAGAACTCATATATCAGAAAAATGGGGATGATTTCAGAATAGAAAAGTGGGCAAAGGGGTGCTTGGGTGGCTCAGTTGGTTAAGCATCTGCCTTCAGGTCAGGTCATGATCCTAGGGTCCTGGGATGGAGCCCCGTGTCAGGCTCCCTGCTCAGCTGAGAGCCTACTTCTCCCTCTTCCCCTCCCTCTCACCCTGCTCCTGCTTTCTCTCTCTGAAATAAATAAATTTTTTAAAAATCTTAAAAAGTAAAGAAAAGTGGGCAAAGGGCACAAAGAAGGAATTCATTCAAAAAGAAAATCAAATGATCTGGTATACAAGGTCAAATGACAAGTGCTTTCTGCCCAGTGAAATAGCAGAAGTGCCGATAAGGGTTTGGAGAGTCAGGGGTACTTGTGCAGTGTTGATGGAGTGTTTCATGTTCTGATTATCTAACTGTCAAAAGGATACCTTTTGACCCCCTAGTTTTACTTCTGAAAGTCCATCCTAGGGAAGTAACTGGGTAACAGTGCAGTTAAAAGTTCCAAGATATCTGGGGCAGCTGGGTGGCTCAGTCAGTAAGTGTCTGCCTTCGGCTCAGGTCATGATCCCAGGGTCCTGGGATCGAGCCCCGCATTGGGCTCCCTGCACGGCAGGAAGCCTGCTTCTCCCTCTCCCACTCCCCCTGCTTGTGTTCCTGCTCTCACTATCTATCTCTCTGTCAAATAAATAAATAAATAATTTTTTTGATTTTATTTATTTATTTGACAGAGGGAGACACAGCGAGATGAGAGAGAGAAGATGAAATTATATATGTAAAAAGGCCAGCATAGTGCTTGGCACCTGCCAAGTGCACCTTTCATGGTCATAAGGTACTGCCCAGTGTTTATTGTGGGAGGAGAGTGGCATAGAAAAGCCCACAGGTTGAGTGGCACCTATTGTGTCTTTCCTCTGAATTCCTCCTCGCCTGTCCAGGGCTCCCCGGGCATGTGTCTCTTGCCTCATCCTCCCCACTGTGGCCACTCTTTCAGACTCTTATCTCGTGCTCGCTTTGGCAGCACATATACTAAAATCAGATTCTTGTCTCTCCTCTCAGCTCAGCCTCATGCTGGTCTCAGCAGGTAAATCTGGTTAGGTCAACTGAAGGCATCAAGTCCTAAGGCCCAGAAGAAGACATTTTAAACTTTACTCAAATTCTGGTGATCTGCACAATAGTTTTTCACAGCAGCTTGGGAGAAAGAATGATCTAGATCTGTGTGTTTTAGTATGGAATAGTTGCCAAGGTTTATTAGGTAGAAACAGCCAAGTTCTGGAGTGGTATGTGCCATACGCTTTGTTTGTCCAGCTTGTTTGGGAGGGTGCTGAGGAGGGAGGTACAGGGGCCACATGAGCCGGAAGTGACTGGGGTCTCCTTTGCACAGCGGTCCCTCTGTGAGAGCGAGCGTGCAAGAGTCCAGGCGACACAGAAGCACGCCCTGGTGTGGGCCCTAAGGCAGAACCCTCCTGCAGACTGGCACCTCCCTCTGCCACAGGATGAGAAAGACCAGTGATGAGCACTCCTGAACGGCTTCCTCTGATCTGTTTCAAATGGGGCTGTTGCAAGACCCTGAGGACAGTGACGGACCCAAACAGTCTAGTGGGTCCCTGAAGCTTCCACTCGGCTTAGAACACAGAGCCTGAGGTCTCCAGCCCTACTTGCCCACGGCAACCCTGCTGCTGCCTTGCTCTGACAGACAGTTTCACCCACTGCACAGCTTCCAGGATGCCAAACACCATTGCAGATCCTGGTGAGCAGCCAGGTTAGGCTGGTTCATGCTCCCCGCTGGGGACAACAGCATTCTCAGGTAAACTCTTGAGTGGTAGCCCTGATCCAAGTGGACACGTAGGGCGGTCAGAATGAGGTAACTAAATGGTTGTGCTGTGGTGAACACCTGTCCTGGTCCTGGTTTGGTGACACTGTGCATTGCCAGCCCCTGGTGCTTACATGGAGCTATTAGCCCACTCACTAAGTTCCTCTGTGGACACAGACAGGGTGTTGCTCCTCGTAGGAGATAGGCCCTCTTGAAGACTCTGGCTTTTAAGAAACGCACACAGCTAGACCCTTGGCTTAAGAAACCCAAGCCCAAGACACGTGGAATTTTAGTCTCTTTCCTTTAAAATTTCCCTTGGTCAGTTTTAGAAAATGTAGATTATATCAAATGCCATTTCGCACGTTTGATTTCAAATAGAAGCTGAAAATTAAATCCACAATTTAATAGTTGAGATTGTTAGATTTAGCACTTGACATTATTGTGCTCGGACAGTATTGGAATTTTGTATACTTATACTCTTGTAGATGTTTTTAAAATATATGTATATGAACCAACAAGAACTCTAGTTCTCGAAGAGGTCTTTTTTATCACTAATAAAATGATTTAGCATCTCGTGGCTGCAGAGCAGGCCCCGTGGTGTGGGGCCAAGGGCGAGGCTGGCTGTGTGCCCCGAAGCCTCGCTGCTCCTTCCTGGACCAGCTGCCATTTTAGTACCTCCCTCACAACTGGGCCCCAACCTGGCCACAGGCAGTGGGTCAGACATCTTTGAACTCATTCTTCGGGGCAAAATAATCCCATCACTTCAGAAGGGCGTACATTAAAGAATAGACTTTGCCCTCTCCTGTGTGCATTTTCTCCTGTGTTACCCCAAGAGTCCCTGTGACTGTGCGTACCTGTAAGTGTTGGGGGATCTGCACATAGGACCCCAATAACCTCTCCCTGTGTATGTACCTGTGAGTGTAGGGGTGTGTGCACACAGGTCCCCAATGATCCTTCCCTGTGACTGTGTGTACCTAGGAGTGGTAAGGGGTGTGCACATAAGTCCCCAGTAGCCTCTCCCTGTGTGTGTGTGTGTGTACCTGTTGAGTGGTGGGAGCGTTTGCACACAGGTCCCCAAAGGTCCTTCCCTGTGACTGCGTGTACCAGTGAGTAGTGGGGGGTGTGCACACAGGAGCCCAGGAGCAGAGGTGAGTATAAAGAAGAACCTATCCCAGGGTGGGTGCCTTGATATTTAAGTTGGCCAGGGTATCTGCCTTGTGTCTGTGGCTACTTTCTGGAGCATTTCTGGCCAAGGAGAGAGGGAAGGCTGCTGGGAATCTACAGGCATTCTCTTCACTCTGAAACACAGGAAGGGACATTTGAATTTTGCAGTCTGCATATGATCCCTTGGGGTTCCCGGGCTGGGGCCACAGTAGCAGCCAGTACAGCAGTCCTGAGGGGCTCACCTCAAGGGACCCACATTCTCTGTGTGCTTGTTTAGAGCTGGAGGCTGCCTGCCACTGAATGCTCTGTTAGGAAGTCTTATTCCTTCTCTGCTGCTCAATGAGTTCCACACTGACAGATAATCATTGCTGCACAGAATGTTCCTACATCTGCTCCTGTGTTCACCCATCACAACATCTGACGGCACCGCTACATGCCAGGTGGGGGTTGGCTCTGGGACTGCAGTCTTGAAATGGGCAAGTTGCCTTCAAAGAGTTCCAGTTGAGTTTAGGGGACAGACATAAACGTTTAAACATCATTAAATAAGTCTAAAATAATGGTAAGTGCTGTGAAGAAAATGGGCAGTGAGAAGATAGAGAAGTAGCTCTCAAGTTTTTTGCACAAAACCCATAACAAGTTTTATGATCTGGTATATACTTTATATACTGCATATATGGTTGAAACAAGCCTCACAAAACAGTCCTTATCTGTACAATGTGTGATACACTGACATTTGCAGTTCTGTGCGACTGAAAATAAACTGTATGTGCACCAACTGGGGTGAAACTCAAATTATGCAGAGTTAAAAAATCTTAAATGGGTGCATATGACATAGTTCCATTTATGTAACATTGGTGAGATGATGTAATAATAGAGATGGAGAATGGCTAATGGTACCAAGGGTAGGGATGGAAGGAGGGTGTGGATGTGGCTAGGGTACATAAGGGTATCCTGTGGTACTGGAACCTTGACTTCTATAGAGCTGCATGTGTGATGAAATTGTGTAGTGTTAGACATACGCACAGATGAGTGCAGACATAGTGGGAAACCTGAATGCATTCTGGGCTGTGCCTATGTCAGTCTCTAGTCTCTTTCACACTGACTGTACGCGGTGTGTAAGATGTTAATACTTGGGGAGGCTGGGAGAACCATACACAGACCCTCCTTGCATCTTTATTTCCAACCTCCTGTAAATCTGTAACTATTTCAAAATAAAAAGTTAAAACTGCTGGTCCTGACCCCGTGAATTGATTATACAACCTAATGGATGACATGTACTGTTTGAAAAACACTACTACAAAGCACCTGCAGGGATGCCTGGGTGGCTCAGTTGGTTAAGCATCTGCCTTCGGCTCAGCTCATGATCCGAGGGACCTGGGATCAAGCCCCACATCAGGCTCCTTGCTCAGCAGGGAGCCTGCTTCTCCTTCTGCCTGCTGCTCCCCCTGCTTGTGCTCTGACAAATAAGTAAAATTAAAAAACAAAACAAAGCACCGGCAATGGGCAGGGAGGTGGGGAAGGCCTCAGCATCTGAGCCCAGACCTAGATGAAGAAGCCTGAGCCTTGTAGAGGAAGGAGCACACAGTCCACAAGGAACAATTAAGTGCCGTGTGCTCACGGGGAGGGGCAGAAGGTGGAGGAGGGTGGTCTAAGGCGTGATCAGGGATGGTGAACAGCCAAATGCCTGCCCTGGCTTGTGCTTCGCGGAGCCCTCTAGTTGCTGTGCAGAGGAGCTACAGGGGGTTGGGGGGAGTGCCAACATGGAGAGATCAGTTGGCTGCTGCAGTGGAACAGGCAAAATGTGGCAATGGTGTGGACCTCGAGATAGATAGCAGTGAGGTGGTGAAAAGTGGCCAGATTCAGTGTTTGTCTCAAAGGTAGAGTTAAAGAACTTAGAATCCTTAGGCAGCATTTTTATCCAGTAAGAATGTTTTATCTAGTTTTTATCTAGTAAGTTTTTAAACCAAAAGTGAACCACACACCAGGAAAACAATCTGAATTCTTCCTCAAATGAAATGTTTCCCTGGTTTATCTGCACTAAGGCAGCGAAAAACCCAAACCCTTTCTGAGGTAGCAATGCAAGTCACTAGGAGAAATGGCTCTATTTGCTCACTGGACCCTCACTGTTATGGGCTGAATTGTGTTGTTCCCCACTCCCTCTAAATTCCTGTGTTGAAGCTCTAACCCCTAATACCTCTGAATGTGACTATTTATAGAGATAGGGTGCTTAAAGAGGTAATTAACTTAAAATGACGTCATTATACTGGGCCCTAATCCACTGACTAGTAGTATCCTTATTACGAGACAGGCACAGAGGGATGACCCTAGGAGGACCCAGGGAAAAGGTGGCTCTCTGCAAGCAGAGGAGAGCACATTTGCGGAAAAACCAATCCTGCCAACACCTTGATCTTGGAGTTCTGGTCTCAAGAACGGAAATTTCTATGAGAAATAAATTGCTGTTGTTTAAGCCCTCGGTCTGTCGTACTTTGTTCTTGCAGCCCCGCCACACTACTATATTTACTATTCCAGACTGACACTTGAGTGTCAGGTGCTACGTCCTCCTAGGGAACACAGCAACTTGAAGTAGTGTGTCCCAGGCTTGCTCCACTCTCTTCAGCCTCCTTCCCCAGCTTAAAACCCAAAGCTGGCCCTGCCAAAGATGTGAGGAAGCTCCCATGCTCCATTTGCCCAATGGAAGGCCCTGCCTCTCCTCTGTCTGCACAGGTATGCAGACAACACACAGCACATAGCCCGCCCATCCTTCACCTCTGCTCCTTGAGGTACTTAGCTGCCTCTTGCTGGTGGTATCTACTCTACACAACTGGAATCTTCCTTTTTACTGGGGAGCAGCGGTAGATATCTTGGTCATTCTCTCCCCAGTACCAGACAAGGGCAGCATCTCTCACCCCCATCAATCCTCAAGTGAATTAATTCTGACTCAAAACTTAGACAGAGACACTTGATTAAACATATTTATTCACAGCATGCCTGACTCTGTGACAAGCAGGCTTGAGCCCTGGTCATTCTGGCTCTAAAGGGCAGTGTGTTCTGCGGACAGGTGCCTGCCGCTCTACTTCTTAAACTCCACCTGTGTGTATACCTTGGTGATATCATGGTATCTGCCTTCAGGGGGCTGGTAGTTGGAGATTGGTGGCGTATAATCTGGCCCTTCTCTTTCAAAGGGGAACAGATTGGGGTCCTGCTTGGTGGCCTCCACATGTAGCTCTGGGGACATGAGTTGCAGCTCCTGCAGAGCTTCCTGCTGGGACTCAACCATGGACCTGATGGCATCCCTCTCCTTCTCATGCTCTTGATGCTTGTACAGAGACCACTTCTTCAGGAGCAGAGCTCTCCGCTCACTCTCCTCAAAGGGAAACTCCACGTGAGGCCGCTGTCTAGGAACACACAAATCCAAAGGTGTGAAGCTGGGAAGCACCGACCTCACTGGCCAGGTAGTCTGGGTGACTGCATACAACCCAAGCGTCCCCACTGCCAGGCACAGATGGGACTTAGGGAAAAACGTGGAAGTTAGGGATTAAAGTTATTAATTTTAAAAAGTTAGGGATAAATTAAAGCATGGAATGTTGATGTGGTAGCAGCAGCAACTAATGTTGGAAGCCAGTGCCATTTGCTTTACATGGACATAAGAAACAGTGATGCTCTAAGAAGACTGGTAGCATTTCCTCTACCCCAGGCCTAGACTACCTTTGGTGAGAGGTGACTGTGGAAATGTAAAGTGGTGTTATGAAAATGGAAGCCCAAGTCCCAGGGAGTAAAGAGCCCAGATCAGCCCTAGAATACCAAAAAAGCACCCGCCATATCCCACCTGTATGGCAAGGTGCTACTTTACAAATGGCACACACTTTTTTACAAGGCAGCAACCCTGCCAGGCCTGTACACAACACATCCCAACTATGAGCATTTGTACCATAAAGCTAGAGGCTAAGGGTTTCCTACCATCAAGATGAGGCAAGGGCTGCAGACCCAAGGCCCAAGTCATCAGTCACAGCTAAAACTCATCTTGCAAAAAAGCAACAATACGAACTGGTTATTAATAACAAATAGTTATTCTGAGTTTCCTTCCCATTT